ATATCTTGCATACGAAAAATTGCTGTGACCTGAATCTTGGCGAGAGTCTTTGCATATTTACCTTCTTTGATTTCCCAGATTCTGGACTTTATCTATTGACTGGTTTTGATTTTTATTTTGATCTATTTTGAATTGCGTGACACTGAAAACCAGCAATAATAACGCAATTACTGAACTTATTATCTCACAGATCAATTATTTGCCCCAGCCCTCAGCGTCGGCAAATAACTGATCTGCTCGCTTCTGACAAATCACTATATTTTGCTCAGCTTTGTCCAATAACTGTTAAATCAGTTTCTCTATTCTGTAATAAAACTTGTTTGATTCTCGCAGTTTGGTAGAAGTGCTGGGTAACCATATATAGTTTGCATTAATTTATTGAATAAATAAGATAAATTAAAAATGACATTCTTTTACACGTAAATGTTACTGACTACCTGACATTCACTATTGTATATTTGCTGTACTCAGGTTCTAAAGAATCGAAAGAGAATCTTGAAAAAAATGCGGAGGATATTACAAACAATTTCCTCAAGTTATCCAAGCCAGATGATGGTAAGAGTATCCAGTTGTATGAGTTTTCAAACACTGTAATTTAGTCCAAAGTGCTAATAGTACGTAAATTCACGACCAACGAGCAATGACTACCTTGTAGTTATAACATGGCCTTTGTCCCATAACTGCACTTTTTTAACACCTAAGTGACGTTCCTTCATCTTAGCGCATGTCAGCACAATTTATTTATTTGAAACATCATCGTCTAAGGTTAGGGGTGGGGACTGCCCTGCAGAGAAACCCGAAAGAGATTCCAGAACCTCCCACCCTTAAGAGATACCAGTTCACGAATACAGCTATATAGTAGTGTCTGCCATATATATAGATTTCTGACTTAGCACTCTCAAAGTTAGCTGGTCCAACAACTTTTAAAACTGCCTTCATTTTAGCCTGGGGGTAAGAAATATATATCCCATGAGAAAAGATCGGAGATGCTCATTTAGGGTTAAAAATAACGGACTTTGGTCTCACGTAACGTAATCTGGACGAAATACTACCATTTTAGCGTCAAGGTACCTTTTTGGGTTGTACTCGAGTAAATTATTAAAGGCACGCTGTCTGTCCGTTGGGGTCAAATAAAGCTCGCACCACGCTCAGATTAGTCTCTTTTAGGGGTTGAATTCAAATTTCCGAATAGTTCCCTGACTTTTTTATATGGGAGTTCCCCCCAGGAGGATTTCAAGACATGAATACCCTGAGGTTACCCAATCATTCTTCACACTAGTAGATCAAATTCAGTTTCCCAGGAGGTTATTCTCCTACATCTGTATATTATAGAATAAAGT